AGGCGGGTGCTGCTGCACCATCCGATGGTCTCAGGGAGCTGCTCTGAAGGCAGCCGGTGCCTTGCCTGCCCCTGGGCATCCCACAGCCCAGCCTCTCCTGCAACAGCACAGCTCCCAGGCAGGGGTGCAGATAAAGCCTCTGCCCTAATTGCCGCCTCTTAATAAGGGAGGGGAGGGCTTACAGGTGCTTCTGCAGGAGCACCCCTGGGCTGGGCAGTAAGTGTGGGGTGGGGAGGCTCAGCTCAGGGGAGAAGGGATGGGGGAGTGGGTGCTGATGATGCGGGAATGCCTCCTCCTGAGCCTGATGCTGCTGTTCCAGCAGCACAGAGAAGGCAGCATCTTGGAGGGGACCCCAGCACAAGTTTTCTCACTGAACCTGTTGCTGCTGTGATGTGAGGCAGGCATTTCCCAAATGCCCAAAGCCAGGAGGCTGCCACCCAGCCCCTGCTGCAGGCAGCGAGGGGCTGAGGTTGGGCTGCAGCCCCCAGAGCTGGGGAGCAGGTGGGGATGCTACCAGTACACAGAAGGCTCTGCCTTTCCTGGCACCCCCCATGCCTGCCCTGCAGAGCTGTGACAGGCTGGAGAGGAAACCCCTAAGGAGGGGATGAAGCAGAAGTGATGCTTGTCTGGGGTGGTGGGACTGGGGGCACTGGGGCCACCCTGTGAGGAGGGGAAACATGGTGTGCTGGGGACATGACTGAGCTGTGGGCTGATGCCTTGGCCCTTGCAAGGGAGGGATGTCCCTGGGAAATGGCCTGGCTTCCCACAAAGAAGCCCTTCCCAGGCAGCTGGGTCTCTGGGGGGGCACCCGGGCCCAGGGAAATGGGGTCAAAGATGGGAGCTGTGGGGCCCTGGTCCGGCAGGCTTTGCTCTTGTGCACGCTGCAGGGCTGCTCCCACCAGCTGTGGCTGTGTCGGGGTGAGCCTGGCCGCTGTCACACGCAGGCGGTTCCTGTTTTTTTCCTACAGCCTGGAAATCCCCTGACTTTCCACCGGGGTGAGGAGCGAGGAGCCCTGCACCCAGCTGGCTTCACGCCTCCCCACAGCTTCGGGAAGAGGTAGCCCTGGGGACAGACTGACAGACCCCAGGGAACCGGGCTGCCCCGGTGCTGGGGTCCCATCTGTGCCAGTGGTGGGACTGGACCGGGCAGGGATAGGACCTGGCAGGGACCATCCTGGGGTGGGGGAGTCCTGCAAAACTATCCCATGTTTGGGCAGACCCTTTCTTGCCCCCTGGCTGGGAAGCGGGGCCATGGCTGAGGGCTCTGGGCTTTGCCCCGTCTGGTGGCGGGGATGAGGTGGCAGTAGTGGCTGTGCACCGGGCGGTGGCCCACATGCACTGAGCTTTGCAGGTCTCAGCCTGGTTCCCCCTGGGCAGGCTGACCCTGTAGCTGGAGGTGAAGATGCTGGTGCAGGCACTTGGGAAAGCTGCTGCAGCCACAAGCCCCTGATGGGGGACGGTGCTGGGGCATCCGAGGGTACCTGAGGACACCCTGTGGGTGCTGCAGGGGCCCTGAAGTGAGACCCCGGCTTGCCCTGCTCCAGCTGCCCATTCCTGGAGGGCTGGGCAGGATTCCACCTCTGGGGGAGCCTGGTTCCCTGCAGGGAGCAGAGTGCAGCTGATGCAACGCGCGTACGGAGCTGTAGCTGAAGCAGTGGGAGCTGCCTCCCGCCTGGGTTTCTCCGCTGTGGACAGTTTCCAATCGATCCTGCCCTCCTGCTGCTGGGAATCCGTCCCTCTCGGGAAGGGGAAGCACGGCACTTACCAGAATTTGGGCTATCGCTTTCCAGCACGCTGGACTCGGTGCCAAGATCGAAGTAAATCACATGTGGCCAGGCGCTATCATGAGAAAAGCCCGCGAGGGAGCAGGGGGGAAATGCAGCATGGCCAGGAGCCTGGGGGGCTCGGCGGGGCCGTCTGCTCCCATGCACTCCCTCTTCTGTGCTCTGGAGATGCTCAGCAGCCCTTGGAGCTTCCCATACTTCCTAGAATCACAGAATCATTCAGGTTGGAAAAGCCCTTTAAGCTCATTGACCCCACCCGTTCCCCTAACCCTGCCATCCCACCACCAAACCCTGTCCCTAAGCACCACATCTGCCCAGCTTTTAAATCCCCCCAGGATGGGGACTCGACCCCTTCCCTGGGCAGCCCATTCTTCCTGCAGTTACAGGGCTGGACACCCCAGAGAAACCAGCAACAGAGCTGGGGTGAAACCCACAGCATCACCGTGCTCTGACGCCTGTCCCTGGGGACCCACTGAGCCTTGGGGATCCCAGGGTGGAGGGATGTGCTGTGACACTGCTCAGGCCCCCCAAAATGGGCTGGGGGCTCTCCTACCTGTGTTTTCTGATCCCACACAGTGCCAGCAGCTCTCACAAAAAGGCAGAACTTGTGGATTTGTCCTGTCCTGCCTCAAAATAACAGCTCAGCTTTTAGAGCTGGTGCCCTGTGTGTGATTCCCAGCCCAGCTCCATCCCTTTGCTAAAGGGTTTTCCAGCTGCTGGTGCAGCTGAGCCTGGGAGGAAGCTGTGGCTGGAAGCATGTTGGTTCCTCTGCATGTTTGGAAGCGGGTGTGCAGCTGGTAATTGCATGGACCAAGTGTGCCAGCACCCATGCTCAGCCGTTCCCTGGCAGGAGGTGGCAGGGCGTGGGCTGCACCGGCAGCTTCTACGCTGGAGCTGGCTGTCGTAACACCGACCCTGGCCCCAGCAGCCTGGCAGGGCAGCTGCAGTGTGCTCTGACGTGCCCAGCAAAACCCTCCTCTGGGGAGACCCTTCTACAGCCCCTATGGGGGGAAGCAGCAGTGTGAAGCCCAACCCTTATCAGACAGCAGAGAATCCCCGCAGGCGAAGCCTCTTGTCTGCTGCCAAGGCTGCCCAGGGCTGGTGGCCGTGCCAGTGCCCGTGCTGAGAACAGCCCGTCCCCCGCGGGATGTGCCAGGGTTTCTGGCCGGGGTGGTGGAGCTGGGTACTGAGCCGCTATTTTGGAGGAGGCCCTCGCAGCTGTTTGGCCTCATCCAACCCCTGGTGCTGGGTGTCTCCTCGCTCACGGCGAGGAAGAGGAGGAGGAAGGGCTCCTGCTGCCTGAATCCGGAGAGGGGCTTAAGGAAACCAGGGACCTCTCCAGAACCACTGTGCCAGAGATTTCTTTCATTGCCTTCTCCAAGCTCCTGTGCGCAGCCACACGGGCCAGCAGGCTATCTGCATTTTTTAACAGAGGCAGAGATTCCCATAATAAGCCCTTCCCCTAGAAGGGATTTGGTTAAAACATGATTTAGTGCAGAATTCAACATAATCACAACTTGTTCAAAGCACGCATCAAATCGGGGATGTTTTCTGTAACACACTGACCAGAGCAAATGGCAACGGCTGGAAACGGCGTCAAACAAATGACAGAGCCTTTAGAAAGCAAACAAGCTGCCCCCGAGCTGATGCGAACCCACCAGGCGCCCTGCTGGGAGGGGCAGGACCCAGCTCCCCCTTTCTCCCACATATAAACTTTCCTGTGGCAATAAAAGAGGAAGAGAAGTTGTTTTATGCAGATTTCAGGAGTGTCCAGCTCATGATGAGGGTGAGGAGTCCATGTCCCTGCCTTTAAATGCCCTTGTACATGCACTGCTGAATGGGCCCACCGATGGCTGTGAGAGCGAGTACGGAGCCAGGGGCACTGGGCTGGACCCGGTCCGGCCTTTGGCACCGGCAGAGAAAGCGAGAAACCCGTGGAAACGTGGGATTAATGGCACCAAGAAATTTACATTACAGATTAGGAACGATCTCCCTCAAGAGAGGCTGTTGCTGGGGGTGGGCGGCGAGGGGTCAGCGGCCATCGAGGAGGGGCAGGGGACCCTCACCTCACAGGCGTTATTTTAGCATGAAGTGCAGAGATCAGCAGAAGAGGTTCCCAGGAAGGACGCGGTTTGACTCAAGAGCGTTTGTGTCAACTTAAGTTTGACTTAAGCTCTGCTTAAAAACGGGCAGCGCCAAATTCCTGGCTGTTCCTGGGAGGTGGGCGGTGGGGGTGCAGCGCCCCCAGC